CAGTACTTCTGTTAGTCTCAAAAGGTGCCACAGGACCCTCTGTTGCTTTTTGGGGACGGTGTGTCACAAGGGCTTTAAGCGCCGCCTTTTGGATCCTGTAGGGTGTATATCACCAAAACAGATTATGAGCAAAATTAGGCAGTAAGCAAGTGAAAAGAAATGATCTGTTATAGAAGCCATTTTAAGAATGGATCAATTTAGCTGCATGGAGGCTACAGTTAAAGTCATTGACTAAATTAACAGAGTTGCAATGATACTGAGAATGATACAGCAATAATACAGAAAATGACACTTTACACTTGTCACCCAGAGATCTCCAAGTGTTTTACAAAGATTGGTAAGTGTTATTATCCACATTTTACAGAAGGGAAACTGAGATACACAAAGGATGAAGCCTAGTTCTTACTAGAAAACATTTGCTGATATAGCTGCGGCAATATAGCCATACCAGGAAACCCTCCTAGTGTAGATGCAGCTTCTACCAGCAAAATGCTTTTGCCGATCTAGTTTATATTGATTCCCCAAGCAAAATAATCTATACCAGTAAATACACTTTTATGCCAGTATAAATGAGTCTACACAAGGATTTTTGCAGGTACAGAAATGTAGCAAAAAATCACACCCCTAACCAACATCACCACATTGACAAAAGTTTATAGTGTAGATCTGACCTGAATGTCTTGCCCAGGGGCACCCAGGAAATCACTGAAAAAACTCTGAAAAGAACCCAGTTCTGATTCCTATTCCCCTGCTTTAAACATTAGACTAGCCGGTTTCTCTTGAACCACTTGCAGTCATGTCTCTATTGTGTATGCTTTCAATTGTTAATCTTGCATTCTTCTTTCAGAAAAAAAAGTGAGAGGGAACTGAAAAATATGATGACAGTATGATTAACACCTTTCATATTATGCTGCCGATGCAATAACAATACCAATGGCTTTTTCCAGTGTTATTCTGTGCTGCATCATGTTCATCTATTTTTTCTGCAGTTTATTCTAACCAAAAAAACCCAACCAAACAAAGGCCTTACACCCTCAGTTTTGAAGTCATAGAAATAAAAATTGCTCTGCTAGGATCATCACAAGACCCAATGTTTCTGTAATCATCTAGATAGTCTCAAGGTGATCCTCCACAACAATCGAGCTAGGAGTCACAAAGAGGATGACCATCTATGTTTAATGGAAATAATGAAAAACTATATGAAAAATACAGGATAACAATTTTAAAGAGCAATGTGCCATTTGTGGGACACAAATCATGTTTCCTGCAAAATCTTAAATTCATAACATGTATACTTCTTTGCACAAATATTGCTGAAATACAGTATAAAGTGTACACTCCCATATATTATTGAATTGGTACAGAGCATTAGCCACCATAGAAAGAACATATAATCAAAGAAGGATGGAATGTGTGTACAAAACACCAAGACATCACAATACAGACATATAACACTATGATGTATCATGGCACTGTGATGTTGTCACAGTGTCATGGCACCACAACATTGGCAAACAATGCCAGAATCCATTATGGTGCTTCTACTTTACCAAACGATGTCATAATGCCATGATACTGTCAGTCTAGGCCCTGGTGTGGCATGACACCATAATGCTGCCAGATCAGGTCAAGCTATGTCTTTGTACCAAGAAATCAAGCTATGACATGCCACGCTGCACCATGGTGCTTCAACCCAGAGCACTGTGATGCTACTCAGTCAGATCCTGTCACGTGCTGTGGTGTCACCAAGTAAGGTACTGTGATATGCTATGATATTGCCAGGCCATGTCATGTGCCAGGCTGTGATGTCAGCAGGCCAGGCCATGTCATATGCTAGAGTTACCATTCGTCCGGATTCCCCCGGACATGTCCGGCTTTTTGAGCTAAAAATAGCGTCCGGGGAGAATTTGTAAATGTCCGGACTTCCCCCATGCAGAGCGCACGTGGCTAACAGGGCAGCCGGCCGGATGGTGCCACTTACATGGGGCTCCGACAGCCAGAGAGAGCCCCTCCTCCGCTTCCCCTGCAGCAGAGATCACTCCCTCCCTCCCTGCATTCACAGATCGCCTCTGGCAGTCTGGCGCTCCTCCCCCGCTCCTCCTCCACTGCTGCCCAGCCTGCCGGGACGAATGGCTCAGGCCGTTCCTGAGCAAGTTCACAGAGACATTAGGCGAAGGCCAACTACAAGGGGGCCAGGGGTTCGGAGAAAGGGCAGGGAGGTTTTGGATGGGGCAGTCAAGAGACGGGGGGGGTGTCGGGAGTTCGGGGGGG